AATTCAGGAATAGAAATTTTTTTAGACGTATATTGCAATGAAATTGATAAAAATGTTTCTATATTATCTTCAGAAGTTAGATTAAATAATGATTTTTGGGGTTGGATAAAAATATATCGATCACCAAATTCTGTTTGGCTTGATTCTGAAATAGAATTATTACAACAAATTTCAAATCAAATAAGTTTAACTATTACTTATTAAATTTATTAAAAGAGAATGCAGAAAAGGAAATTCAAATCAAAGCTGCTGAAGTTGCAAATAAAACAAAGAGCCAAATATTAGCAAATACTTCTCATGTACAGTAAATTATTATTTATTATACTATTTCTGTATTAAATTTTTTTATTAATTTTATTGTATCATTACCGTTACTAATTGATTTTATCATAGAATTACGTACACCATTGGAAGCAATAGTTGGCATTCTTTCTACTTTCGATAGTACTAGCTTAACTACTGATCAAAAAGACATGATTAATATCATGATGCGTGCTTCTGATATTGTGTTATCCATAGTAAATGATATCCTTGATGCAGTAAAATTAGAAGCACAAAGGATTACTTTAATAAATAGAACATTTGATTTATTAGAATTAATTGATGACATAATTGAGACATTTGGAAAAAAAATTGGAAATAAAAAAATTGAATTAATTTTAAATTGCGAGGTAGATAAATTGCCGAAATATGTTAAGAGTGATCCTGAAAGGTTATTGAAATAATGCATTTTATATGATTAAAAAAAAAGAATTTATTACTTAACTTGTCTCTTTATATATTACATAGGTTTAAACAAGTTCTATCCCATTTATTATCAAATTGTCTTTATTGTTCATAACCCTTTAATAATTTACTATATAATTTATAACATTATATAATATCTTAGTGTTAAATTTACCGAGAAAGGTGAAATTGTACTGACAATTTTAATGCAACCAAGAAAAGCAATTGGCGAAAACGAACAGAATCCTAGTCACAATACAATTATTAAAAAGGAAGTTCTGTTGATTGAATTACTTGATACTGGCATTGCGTAGGTTATTTATGATTATAAACTCTATATAGTTGCAAATATTTCAGATATTGTATTTTCAATATACACATCGGCTAATAATTCAATAAAAATAGCATGAATCTAGAGTATACACGACATACTTGGAAAAGCTTTTCACAAGGTGACATGTCATTAACCAAAAGGCAGGATGGTACAGGACTTGGACTCTCAATTTGTAAACGTTTAGTAGAAATTAACGGAGGAGAAATTAATGCAGAAAGTCAATTAGGAAAAGGGAGTAAATTTTGGTTTACATGGAATATCGAATTATTATCAGCTATGCCAACTATTTTAAAATTTCCCACTCT